ATTCTTCTTCTTCTTCTTCTTCTTCTTCTTCTTCTTCTTCTTCTTCTTCTTCTTCTTCTTCTTCTTCTTCTTCTGCATTTTTGAGAAACAAATAATTCGAAACAAAGGTCTTAACTGTCATTTTGAGGTAGTAGTTGTTTTTTTTGTTGTTGTTGGTGTTGTTTTTTTAAAGACGGTTTAACACTAGTTGTACTGATTATGAAATGGTTTCAGAGTTCGTGAATTGAGCATATTTTAGTTATCACTTACTTTACTTACAACATGTCTGTCCTCAGCCACCAAAATTTGGAGACTTTTTCACCAAGCAACTACTGTTTGGGGAGCTTACCCAGCGTTATGGTCACAGCACGCCCGAAGCAGAAGCAGTGGTCGACCAGTTCTACAGACATGGAGCAGATCTATTGAGCTTAATGGGTCTAAGGGTAATGACAGCCGATTGTTTGAATTACGCTGGTCACTCTGAACAAATGGCGCAATATATGTTTAACGCCCCTATGAATTCTAGTAGGTTATCTAAGAGGTGGGATCCGAGTTTAAGGTTTCTCTCCTAAAGATCCAAGTCAAATAGGAAATTCGTGTAAGTTGCCTTTCCCAAGAATACAACGTCGGACTGAGGTGAGGCCAGAACCCCCGAACCCGCAATCTCACGATTGTGGCGTGTGGGTTGAGTAGCCTAACAACTAGGCTACCGAGTCACTTGGTCACTCTGTTGTTAATTGTCCCCAGAAAGAGAAACAGTTAAAATTAATCGATATCTTCGTTCATGTCATAACGCCATAACGGTAGTACGACGCCATTCCTCGTTCTTCTATGCCGAAAACCCTTATCTAATATTGATAACAGCAATTTCATTTATATAACGCATATCCTCGCTCTACAGCATACTCTATGGGCTTAACGGCTATCATTACCCCCAGCTGACCGTAGAACACCCAGAAACATTCTCGGATTCCCGGGCGGGAAGCATACATTGTAGTTCAAGCTGCCGATTAAGCGCTGAAACACTAACAAATGATCCAAGTTTAAAATGGGACCAAAGTTTAGTGGGTATGCAAGATGGTTAAGAAAAATCTAGACTATCTGACATAGAAACCTGGAAACCATTTAAGAGTGCACATATCGGAGAATTTTGTGAAAGCGTTTTCGTTTTTACTGGGGTTAACACCTGTTATATTTTTTGTATGATGTTATATGGTATATTATGATATGGTATCATGTGTGGTATGGTATGTGATATTGTGTTTGGCACAATGTATGTTTTCTGATTATGGCACTCTTTGACTTTGGATCAAACTAAAAAGATCTTTTTCTGTCTGTGGCCGGGTACCAATTCCACCTGGGTGGAGTAAGGACAATTTATGTAAAGTTAAGGAACTTTCCCAAGGACCCAACGTCAGGCCCCTGACGGGACTCGAACCCACGACCTTACGATCGAGATTAAGAGTCCGATAGCCTATCCACTAAGCCACCGATGCTCGTACTTTGCGATTTGCTAAGATTGAATTCAAGATGTTCTGATTATATAATGAGTGAGTTCACCACTGCGCCCCCTTTACTCCGTGTAATAGAATGCAACTGCCAAGGTGAGGTGTCGTCAAATGAATACAACTTCCGCTAGTTTGGAGTCTTCTTAGATTCCTTACTCGTCACAGGGAAGGCGGACTTTTAAATATTATAACTGTGGCCCGCTCCTTGCTATTTTGAGCTTTTACTAGAACATAAATTATTATTACCTTCTACCGCGTGTTCCTGAGAAGTGCTTTATCATTGAAAACAACAATCACAGAACTAAATTAAGAAAACCCCCAATAAAAACAATATAAGCAACAATATAAGCAAACACATTAATACATGTACATGTAAAGGAAGCCAATCTTTTCCTGTGCATCACAATCTGATTCGTTTAGGATGCTGACTGTATAACCGGCCTAAAGTCTAATTTCTTGACCCATTACCTGTATAGGTTTTACGAGAGGCCATTTTCTTTATTCTTTATCTGTAATCGTAAGATTATCTGAAGACAACTTTTTAATAGTTGTTACAAAGTACAGCAGGTGTGCAGTTCCACCGAGCAGATAACTGTAAAAAGCCATCTCAAAACAACGCTGTTTTATTGCTAGTGATACGATATTCTTTGTAAATTCTTGCAAATCCCATCAGCTGAACCTGTTTTTTAAAAATCCATCTTAAATTTACATAATGTAATAAGCTTATTGACCTTTGACCTTTTCCCCTTTTCCCAGATTGCTGAGGCCCACGGTGACCCAGGCTTCGTCATGCCTTCGATAGAGAATGCACGTGCCATCAGCGACGCTCAGCAGTCGATCTCTGGTTAGAATTGCATGTTATCTTTTGAATTATGAACTATTATTACACGTACAGTATTAATTTAGTTCCTCGGTTATAGCCATGAATCAATCCGGGCTGTTCGTGAATGTTTCATTCTTGAGGTCTTTATCATTCTATCTACACGAAGAGACAGGCGTTTACAGAATTGACACACATTATATGACAGTGTCACTAATCTGTTAGGGAATCTTTCAGTTTTCTGAAAGCCCATGACAGAATACTAGCAAGTGTCAACCCCCCCCCCCCCCCCTTTAAAAAAATTATAATAAAACGTATCAAAATGTTGACGGTGGAACCATTATAAAGAAACCCTAACTGCATAGCTGCATGACACGTATCTGAACAGTGTAAAACACAAAATATATCAGCTTAAATAACTTAAATTTAGACTATGGTTATCTCGCCCCACTTTATCCCTGAGCTTTACAGATGAGTCGAGAAGAGAAAGTCGGCAAAATAGCAGTGCCATTTTGCTTGCTCGTTTATTCGGCTTCGCACATAAAAGAACACAAATGAAGAATCTTGTGTGAAATGACAAAAAAATCATGAAACAATACATGTAGATTATGAATTTCTTTCGGACTCCTAGGAGGCGGCAAAACATATTTCTACTACTTCAACTACTGCCCGAGTTACACCGGACAGATGTGCATGATGCATGGATGGGATGTCGGTTTCCTCTTCCCGAAAGGCCACATGGGCAACGCCGAGGATGACAAGGTGAGGGGTATATTCTTTAGGGGCCATCCACCAAACTACTACCCCTGCTACTTAGTAACATCACTACTACCCCTTCTACTGCTGCTGCGGTCACTGATGCTCCACTGCTGACAGACCTCGCCTTTGAGAAACCCTTCCCAAGCGCTCTCCAATAGTTTTGTTCTCAGTGGCGCCTGAAGAAGCCCTCGACTCCTTTTAGTGACCATTCTTTTCTTTTTTTTTCTATTTACATTTACTTTCCAAACATCACTCAAGGCTCTTTTTAGAACAATCTTATTTAGTAGGCTATACAAGACACATCGCTCACTAAAGATAGTATCCTGTCCACAATAATATAGATGTCACCACCGCTGCTAGTGAGGACGCTAAAGCAATAGCTATTTGTTCCTCTCTCAAATAATAATAATAACAACAACGAAACGTGTCGTAGTGGGTTACCGCATCTTTGATATCATTTTGCGATGGTAGTTTGTTGTATACCTTTTTGTACAATATCCAATGTAGATTTAAGCAATGGGGATGGGCGAAGTGGGTTCCTGGTCGTTTAATTCAAACCAAGGCATAAATTAGCCCTTCAAGCATAAGCCAGTACATATTCTTGCTGCTTTTATTTGATATTATAATGTGTTCATTGGCTACTTTCTAATGTGGATTTAGTGTTCAAATAAACCCTTTTAGTATATAATTTAAGTGACGCGACCTTCGGGCTTAATTAATGTCCATCTCCGATAGGACTGTGCCAAGCGGGTGGAGAGCCTTGCGTACTTGGCAAACTTATCAGTGCCTCAATTCAACATGATCCAAGTATATTACCAGCTAAGCTATCAGCGCGTTGACATCGGCTAGTTTGCTTTTTTGACCCTACCCAGACACACAACTCTTCCAGTTGGATAATTAATATACCCCTTCCCACTTCCGGGTGGTTGGAGGGCGCCACTGGTAGGCTCTCCTTTTTTTCCAACTGTCGTTTCTCTATGTCTTATTTCTTTTCCCCTGCAATAAATAAACAAAATTTTGTCTATGTGCTTCTCGTAACTGAAAAATAAACATCCCATCCCCGC